CAAAAGGGTTTCTAATGATCAATTAGCCTTTTAAAATGATAAACTTGGATTAGCAAACACAACGTGCCATTGGAACACAGGACTGATGGTTGCTGATAATGGGCCTCTGTACGCCTATGTAGATATATAAAAAATCAGCCGTTTCCAGCTACAATGGCCATTTACAACATTAACAATGTCTACACTGTATTTCTGATCAATTTTATGTTATTTTAATGGACAAAACAATTGCTTTTCTTTCGAAAACAAGGACATTTCTAAGTGACCCCAAACTTTTGAATGGTAGTATGTATATATATATATATATATATATATATACACAGTATCTCATAAAAGTGAGTACACCCCTCACATTTTGGTAAATATTTGAGTATATCTTTTCATGTGACAACACTGAAGAAATGACACTTTGCTACAATGTAAAGTAGTGAGTGTAGAGCTAGTAGAACAGTGTACATTTGCTGTCCCCTCAAAATAACTCAACACACAGCCATTAATGTCTAAACCGCTGGCAACAAAAGTGAGTACACCCCTAAGTGAAAATGTCCAAATTGGGCCCAATTAGCCATTTTCCCTCCCCGGTGGCATGTGACTCGTTAGTGTTACATGGTCTCAGGTGTGAATGGGGAGCAGGTGTGTTAGATTTGGTGTCATCTCTCTCACACTCCCTCATACTCCCTCATACTGGTCACTGGAAGTTCAACATGGCACCTCATGGCAAAGAACTCTCTGAGGATATTAAAAAAAGAATTGTTGCTCTACATAAAGATGGCCTGGGCTATAAGAAGATTGCCAAGACCCTGAAACGGAGCTGCAGCACGGTGGCCAAGACCATACAGCGGTTTAACAGGACAGGTTCCACTCTGAACAGGCCTCGCCATGGTCGACCAAAGAAGTTGAGTGCACGTGCTCAGCGTCATATCCAGAGGTTGTCTCTGGGAAATAGACGTATGAGTGCTGTGAGCATTCCTGCAGAGTTTGAAGGGGTGGGGGGTCAGCCTGCCTCTTCTAAAGATGATTCACAAGAAAGCCCACAAACAGTTTGCTGAAGACAAGCAGACTAAGGACATGGATTACTGGAACCATGTCCTGTGGTCTGATGAGACCAAGATAAAGTTATTTGGTTCAGATGGTGTCAAGCGTGTGTGACGGCAACCAGGTGAGGAGTACAAAGACAAGTGTGTCTTGCCTACAGTCAAGCATGGTGGTGGGAGTGTCATGGTCTGGGGCTGCATGAGTGCTGCCGGCACTGGGGAGCTACAGTTCATTGAGGGAACCATGAATGCCAACATGTACTGTGACATACTGAAGCAGAGCATGATCCCCTCCCTTCGGAGACTGGGCCGCAGGGCAGTATTCCAACATGATAACGACCCCAAACACACCTCCAAGACGACCACTGCCTTGCTAAAGAAGCTGAGGGTAAAGGTGATGGACTGGCCAAGCATGTCTCCAGACCTTAACCCTATTGAGCATCTGTGGGGCATCCTGAAACGGAAGGTGGAGGAGTGCAAGGTCTCTAACATCCACCAGCTCCGTGATGTCATCATGGAGGAGTGGAAGAGGACTCCAGTGGCAACCTGTGAAGCTCTGGTGAACTCCATGCCCAAGAGGGTTAAGGCAATGCTGGAAAATGATGGTGGCACAAAATATTGACACTTTGGGCCCAATTTGGACATTTTCACTTAGGGGTGTACTCACTTTTGTTGCCAGCGGTTTAGACATGAATGGCTGTGTGTTGTGTTATTTTGAGGGGACAGGAAATGTACACTGTTATACAAGCTGTACACTCACTACTTTACATTGTAGCAAAGTGTAATTTCTTCAGTGTTGTCACATGAAAAGATATTCTCAAATATTTACAAAAATGTGAGGGGTGTACTCACTTTTGTGAGATACTGTATATAAAAATATGGAATTGATATACACTAACACTCAAACGCAAACAATTCACACAATGAAGTTATGAAACAATGAATGTGCACAAATTGGCGGGAGAGAGCGCATTCTGGAGAGAGAAGTGCATTGTGCATCTGGGCGCATGGTTAATCCGACGTCTGCATTGGCCATGCAGCATTTACGGCAGAAGTCAGGGCGTTCATACTTCTTGCGCTTCGCGGAGCAGTTCATAGCTGTTGTCAAGGAAGTGAGTTTGTGTTTATACAGGATGTACCACCCCCACCTACCGTCAACCAATCATGTCAATGTGGAGCTAAACAGAGCCCTCAGCATTGTTAAAAAATTTGGGAGGTGCATGGCGATGTGGTACAGAGCTAGATTTGGCCTCTGCATGCCTCTGGAGGCTCTGCAATTGCATCACACCCTCCATATGAAGCCTCCAACCACATTTTCTAATCAAGCATAAATTGGCTTTTAGTCTAGGCCTCTGTAATGGATTAGTTCAGTGAGATGGGCGCAAATATATATATATATATATATATATATATATATATATATATACACAGTGGGGAGAACAATAATTTGATACACTGCCGATTTTGCAGGTTTTCCTACTTACAAAGCATGTAGAGGTCTGCAATTTGTATCATAGGTACACTTCAACTGTGAGAGACGGAATGTAAAACAAAAATCCAGAAAATCACATTGTATGATTTTTAAGTTATTAATTTGCATTTTATTGCATGACATAAGTATTTGATCACCTACCAACCAGTAAGAATTCCGGCTCTCACAGACCTGTTAGTTTTTCTTTAAGAAGCCCTCCTGTTCTCCACTCATTACCTGTATTAACTGCACCTGTTTGAACTTGTTACCTGTATAAAAGACACCTGTCCACACACTCAATCAAACAGACTCCAACCTCTTCACAATGGCCAAGACCAGAGAGCTGTGTAAGGACATCAGGGATAAAATTGTAGACCTGCACAAGGCTGGGATGGGCTACAGGACATTAGGCAAGCAGCTTGGTGAGAAGGCAACAACTGTTGGCGCAATTATTAGAAAATGGAAGAAGTTCAAGATGACGGTCAATCACCCTCGGTCTGGGGCTCCATGCAAGATCTCACCTCGTGGGGCATCAATGATCATGAGGAAGGTGAGGGATCAGCCCAGAACTACACGGCAGGACCTGGTCAATGACCTGAAGAGAGCTGGGACCACAGTCTCAAAGAAAACCATTAGTAACACATTACGCCGTCATGGATTAAAATCCTGCAGTGCACGCAAGGTCCCCCTGCTCAAGCCAGCGCATGTCCAGGCCCGTCTGAAGTTTGCCAATGACCATCTGGATGATCCAGAGGAGGAATGGGAGAAGGTCATGTGGTCTGATGAGACAGAAATAGAGCTTTTTGGTCTAAACTCCACTCGCCGTGTTTGGAGGAAGAAGAAGGATGAGTACAACCCCAAGAACACCATCCCAACCGTGAAGTATGGAGGTTGAAACATCATTCTTTGGGGATGCTTTTCTGCAAAGGGGACAGGACGACTGCACCGTATTGAGGGGAGGATGGATGGGGCCATGTATCGCCAGATCTTGGCCAACAACCTCATTCCCTCAGTAAGAGCATTGAAGATGGGTCATGGCTGGGTCTTCCAGCATGACAACGACCCGAAACACACAGCCAGGGCAACTAAGGAGTGGCTCCGTAAGAAGCATCTCAAGGTCCTGGAGTGGCCTAAGCCAGTCTCAAAACCTGAACCCAATAGAAAATATTTGGAGGGAGCTGAAAGTCCGTATTGCCCAGCGACAGCCCCGAAACCTGAAGGATCTGGAGAAGGTCTGTATGGAGGAGTGGGACAAAATCCCTGCTGCAGTGTGTGCAAACCTGGTCAAGACCTACAGGAAACGTATGATCTCTGTAATTGCAAACAAAGGATTCTGTACCAAATATTAAGTTCTGCTTTTCTGATGTATCAAATACTTATGTCATGCAATAAAATGCAAATTAATTACTTAAAAATCATACAATTTGATTTTCAGGATTTTTGTTTTAGATTCTGTCTCTCACAGTTGAAATGTACCTATGATAAAAATTACAGACCTCTACATGCTTTGTAAGTAAGAAAACCTGCAAAATCGGCAGTGTATCAAATACTTGTTATCCCCACTGTGTGTGTGTGTGTGTATATATATATATATATATATATATTTTTTTTTTTTTTGTTACTGCTTGACTAAACAATCTCGGTCGACCAACAGACTAACGACCAAACAATCGACTAATTGGGGTCAGCCCTAATATTTAAAAAATGTTTTCCTCAATAAATTGTAAAATAGTTTGACAGCCCTTTTTGTAAGATTTGAAATTATATTAATCTCAACTGTTAATTTTTTCCATTGATGTAGACACATGGATGTCTGTCTCATGGTATGGTGGGGTATGCAAAATAGATCAACTTTATCTCTTTAATGTTTTGGCATTCAGGCCCAAAAAGTCACTTTCTGAGCGCTTCTACAATGGGGAGCACCACCAGCAACTTCTCATTTTAAGATTCTTCTCAAGATAGAATCCTCCTCTCTTTGGGATGTTTTGATCTCAATGCAGGCATTTCCAAACCCCAGCCTTAGGCCCAAATTTGGCTGGAATCACAGTCTACTCAAGGTAATGCAGTACCAACAAAACATAACAAAATGTTTTGCTGTCCATAGCGACAAAGCTCTGGAAGGTTACCATTTTGGGAATGTAGCCTAGTAATCAATCTGAATTTATAGGCCAATAAAAAAACGTTTTGGGCCACTTAAATCATGTATTTGACACATTGCCTTTTTATAGCTAGAAATGATTGCATGTCTGTCAGGATATGATTGTTGTTGGTAATTGTGAATCAAGGAACATCTATTCGTTTTATAGTTCAATCTCACAGCTTTTGTACTTCTTATATCAGTCAGCAGTGTCACAACATTTTCTTCAAACCGCCTCAGCACTTTTTACAACTTCTCCAGGCAACCATCTTATACACCAGCTGTATTAAGCTAAAGTCCTTTAAAATGTTGTGACCATGATATGGTTTTATCACACACTTGGACATATTGTATATTCATGCCCGAGGAGGCATGCACCGGTAAGTGTAATTGGTTCTCACTGTGCTGGAGTAGTCCTGGAGGAGTCCTTTGCCTTGCAGAAACCGTTAGAGGTCAGCTATATTGACCTTTGGAGGCCTGTCATGATCAATGCTGTTGATTGCTATTAACCTGCTCCACTGGGTACTAGTGCTGAAACACCTGGCCCTGTTGGAGGCCAACAGATGCTTTAGACTTGCTGCTCGCTGAGGCATTACTCATGCCTGACCACACTCACTATATCTCAAGTAATTTTGTTTGAGTTTAAATTGAAGCCATGTTTTAGTTTCAATACTTATGGGAAAGTTTGGATAGCTGTTTCGTCGCTGCAGAAATGTATTGGTGTACAGTATAGGGTGACAATTGGGTGGATCATGATTGATGTTTCAATTGATTGAAACCATGTTTTAGTTTTAAATTCTTATGGAAAAGTTTAGATAGCTGTTCCACCACTGTAGAAAGTATTGACGTACTGCACAGTATAGGGTGACAATTTTGGGTGAATCATGATTGGTGTGAAGATTGTCAAGCATTGTTTGGTGGAATGATAGGTGAGTAGATGAGAGGCATTTTTAGGAAAAGGGATACTGTAAGTAGGTATTGTCTGGGATAGGGGGAACAGAGAGATAGAAGCAGGACGGTTAGGTTAACAGAGACTGACAGGCCTGTCTATAATTCAGCTCTGTGGTGTGTGGACGTGGCAGCAGGACCATGGCATGGGCGCTGTGACGTCGGGTTAGACACTAAACAAGTGGGGGTGGGCCCTGGACCCCCGTTCCCCTGGGGCTGCTCAGGCACTGTGCCAGATGGGAGATGGTATGCCAGGGAGCCTCCCCACGGGAAACTGCCAGGGCCGCGTTTGTTCCGCTGACACCCAGCATCTCAGCCCGACCTGGGCAAGCGTACATTCCTCAAAGTGATGGGTTTCAGTGGGGGCCTGGTGCTCTCTCACTCACGTACTCAAGACACACACACTCTCTTTCTTTCTCTCTCGCCTCGCGCTCTCTCTCTCTTTCTCTATTCCACCCTCTCTCCCTTCTCCCTCGGTCTAGAACATACTCTCTTTCTCTAGCTTCCTCTCTGTCCGTCTCGCTCCCCCTCTCTCTTTCTTTCTTCATCTTCCTCCCGTAACTCCTGGTGAGGCGTGCAGGATTCCTCCCCTGGTGAGGGGATTAAGAGCCTGGTAGGCATCAGGGATTTGATTGGTTAGGACCTGCTCTTGTTCCTATTGGATGGGCTTGAGCCAGTGCAGCAGTGGTGGGCTCTCAGAGCCAACAGGGGATTGGACAGGACAGCAGTGGGCTCCACTGTGGTTGTGTAACTAACCTCAAATCCAGGGAGGGACATCCTTTATCAAATCAAATCAAATCAAATTGTATTGGCCACATGCACCGAATACAACAGGTGCAGACATTACAGTGAAATGCTTACTTACAGCCCTTAACCAACAGTGCATTTCTTTTTAATAAAAAAGTAGATACGAGTTAGCAAGGGAATTCCACTGGTTTTAGAGAACTTTAGATTTTCACAGATAGACATTCCGTGCTCTCTCTAAGGGTTTTGAATCTGTGAAAAGCTTCGACTTTTGGAGCGAAGCATTGGAACTTATAGAGGGTGGGAAAGTCAACAGCAGGCGACGCAGAGGAGCAAATGTTTGTCACACGCTCCCGTTGCATTTCCTTTATAACACCTTTATGTTGTTTACTCAGTAGATTTAATTTAGAAATCAGGTAATCCGGAGTTGTGAGGTCCGACCTGAGGAGCATTTGTATGTCAGTTTGTCACACTCTTTCTTCTGTCGTTTTCCACAGGTCCTGTGGCACCTGGACATCTTTCGCCGGAGCTTCCGGCAGCTGACCACACACAAGTGCATGGAGGACTCGTGTATCTTCTGTGCCCTGAAGGTAAGAGGCTAGATATGTGGGTGGAGATGAGAGGGAGGCCTGGGGGTGGAGAAGAGGTGGTTCACTTATTAATGAATCCAGGTAATGTCTACCAAATAATGCAGATAGAGGATGGTTATTTTGGTATTGGACTATTGTATTTTATATTCAACAGTAAATCTTCGATCAAATACGTTATTTTTCAAATTACTTTTGTGAATTTAGTTCTTAAGCATGGCTGTGCCCCCTGAGAGCTGACCATGACTTTGAATGGGAGTTCTGGGATGTGAATATTTGTTTCTTAACATGTAAATGTGGGGCGGCAGGTAGCTTAGTGGTTAAGAGCGTTGTGCCAGTAACCGAAAGGTCGCTGGTTCTAATCCCCGAGCCGACTAGGTGAAAGATCTGTCGATGTGCCCTTGAGCAAGGCACTTAACCCTAATTGCTCATGTAAGTCGCTCTGGATAAGAGCGTCTGCTAAATGACTAAAAATAAAATAAAAAAAATAAATGGGAAGTAACTAAGTCATCTCCCCTGGTGTGGACAGACAGTGGTTGGATGTCTGGCCAGTGGTAATGGATTATGTACCATAGATCTCTCTCTGATCTGGACAGGCCGCTGAATGTAGATCATTGGCTTTAGCCAGCTCCCCCCTCTCTCGCTCTCTCTCTCTGTTATTTGCCAAATTACTTCGGTCATCGTTATAATCGTTCGAATAGCAAAACCGGGCCACCCCTAGTGACCAATGACCATCTCTATATGTCTCAACAAGACCATCTGTCTGTCTGTGTGAGTGTATGTCTGTCTGTCTCTGTCTGTGTGAGTGTCTGTCTGTCTCTGTAAGTGTCTGTCTTTCTGTCTGTCTGTGTGAGGGTGGTCTTTCTAACTTTAGTCTTACTCTGTACCTGACTCTCTGCCAGGCATTCCAAATCCATTTATGATTGTCTGTCTCTTTGCCTGTCTGGCAGAACTAGACTAGCTTTGCCACTATGCTACTTCCATTACACCACAAGACTCATCCTGTGGGCCAGCAGGTTTGTTTTTCCTGGTTTGAGTCATTGATTCCATCTTAATGAAGAGGCAAGTTTCACACACACCAGAGGAGACAGTCGAGGTAAATGCCTTTTGAGTGGCTGTAGGATGGCACTCCACACACTCAGCCGTGTGCGGTTTTTACCCCCAAATGCAGATTTAATGGACACTTGTGGAACTGAGTGGTGTGATGAGCTGCGATGCATTAGGGCTGCATGGCCCATCGGAGGGGTTTGATGGTGACATTTGAAGACATGTCTGATTCCTCTGTTTCCACACGGTCTGCGTGGCAGGCATGGCTTAGAGCAGCTGGATCTGGCCAGCCGGCAGGACTTGAGAGTGAAAGAGCCCTGTGGTTTTAACGAGGCCATCCTTATAGCTACCGACTGACTAGGTCTGGTCCTTTTGACTGTGACAGGTTAGCTGATTTCACAGTAGTGTCTACCTCAGAGTCCTAGTCAGGAGTAAGTGTACTTCTGTTGCTCCCGCTGCACTTTCTCTCTCTCTTTCACTACATCTCTCTCTCTCTCTGCTCTTTCCCCTTTCCTCCATCTTCCTCTCCCTCCCGTCTTTCTCCCTCCTTCTCTCTTTCTCTCCCTTGATGTATCAGCCTTATCAGAATTCACCAGGGCTCATTTGAAGGGTCGATTACAGGGCATTTCTGCCAGGCATTTAATTTGAGTAGAATTATAAGGCTATGATCATTTATCCTTTCCCCACCTCCTTCTCTGCCTCTCCTGTTCTCTCTCTCTCTCACCTCACCCACCTCTTTTCTTCTTCTTCTCTCTTCCTTATGCAAGACAAGTTGAGGTGCAGTGGCAGGGCAGACGTGTGTGTGCGCGTGTTTGTGTGCCTGCATTTACACTTTAGTCATTTAGCAGACGCTCTTATCCAGAGCGACTTACAGTTAGTGAGTGCATACATTATTTTTTTATTTTATTTTTCATACTGGCCCCCCGTGGGAATCGAACCCACAACCCTGGCGTTGCAAACGCCATGCTCTACCAACTGAGCTACATCCCTGCCGGCCATTCCCTCCCCTACCCTACCCTGGACGACACTGGGCCAATTGTGCGCCGCCCCATGGGTCTCCCGGTCGCGGCCGGCTACGACAGAGCCTGGATTGGAAGCAGGATCTCTAGTGGCACAGCTACCACTGCGATGCAGTGCCTTAGACCACTGCACCACTCGGGAGGTGTGTGTGTGTGTGTGTGTGTGTGTGTGTGTGTGTGTGTGTGTGTGTGTGTGTGTGTGTGTGTGTGTGTGTGTGTGTGTGTGTGTGTGTGTGTGTGTGTGTGTGTGTGTGTGTGTGTGTGTGTGTGTGTGTGTGTGTGTGTGTGTGTGTGTGTGCGCGCGTGTGTGTGCGCGTGCGTGCGTGTTGAGGTGCTCACCTGGAATGCATTTCAATTAACAGGTGTGCCTTCTTAAAAGTTCATTTCTGGAAATTCTTTCCTTCTTAGTGCGTTTCAGACAATCACTTGTGTTGAGGCTGGTAACTCTAATAAACTTATCCTCTGCAGCAGAGGTAACTCTGGATCTTCCATTCCTGTGGTGGTCCACATGAGAGCCAGTTTTATCATAGCGCTTCATGCTTTTTGCGACTGCACTTGAAGAAACTTTCAAAGTTCTTGACATTTTCTGTATTGACTGACCTTCATGTCTTAAAGTAATGATGGACTGTTGTTTCTCTTTGCTTACTTGAGCTGTTCTTGCCATAATATGGACTTGGTCTTTTACCAAATACGGCTAACTTCTGTATACCCCCCCCCCCCCCCCCCCCCCCCCCACCTTGTCACAACACAACTGATTGGCTCAAACGCATTAAGAAGGCACACCTGTTAATTGAAATACATTCCAGGTGACCACCTCATGAAGCTGGTTGAGAGAATGCCAAGAGTGTGCAAAGCTGTTATCAATGCAAAGGGTTGCGATTTGAAGAATCTCACATATAAAATATATTTTGATTTCTTTAACACTTTTTTGGTTACAACTCAGGTGTCTATACTTCGACAGCAAAGTTAGATAAGACGGAAGATTATGAAGTAGGGCCTTGTTAACAAAAAGGAAGTAATGTAGAGATCTACAGGTCTTTAGCGAAGTCTAGCCAACCTTTGAGTATCAAAACTGTCACCTGTAACAAAACGACTTGCACAATGGTAGATGGCATCCAAAGGTTTAAGAGTAGTAGCAGCTGCACTTTGATAAATAATATCACCATAATTAAGAACAGATAAAAAGGTTGACTGAATAATCTGCTTCCTACTGCTTAGAGAAAGGCACGATCTGTTTCTGTTGAAAAAGCCAATTTTAAATCTTAGCTTCTTAACCGGCTCATCTATATGTTTTTTAAACGTCAAATCCATATCAATCCAAATGCCTAAGTATTTATATGCGGAAACACGTTCGATAAGAGAATCATGTAATGAGTGAACATGTAGTTCATCTGAAACATTCTTACGGAAGTTTAAAAACAACATGTATTTCATTTTAATCGTATTAAGCACAAGTTTTAAATCAGTGAGGTATTCCTGCAATAGCTATAAAATCTGACTGTAGTTTTGACACAGCCAGATCAGCAGTCAGGGCGATAGCATACATAATAGTATAAAGATGAAGTGTAAATATTTTAACAGATTGACCAATGGTGTTTATATAAATAGTGAAGAGAACAGGTCCCAAACAGGTCCCAAAATTATAAGGGTCCATCTGCTCTCAGTAAGTCTATGTTGTGTTAAGAGATGTCTTTCACCTGAACATGTCATGCCCTAGTAGAGGGGTTCCCAAACTTTTTCACTCAGGCCCCCCTTCCAGCATTGGGGAACATCCCGCGCACTCCCCTGCATGCACGAGCCACGTCTATTTCTATGGGCACAAGCACTGTTCATGACACAAACTGTTCACACCCCTTGCAATTTTAAAGCTCATTTTCTTGCAATTCTATACATTTTGCCATGTCTAAAGTGTGTTCATGTGATATTTGAGTGACTCAAACATTACAACAAAATCTATGAGCTAAAAAACATTAGCTGACATGGGCTAGTTGATCTGGACATTTCTGACAAATGATAAATAGCTCTCTAAGGTATGCAATGACTGACATGACAAGAGGATTCTACTAGTGCATTCTAATATAACAACTTTTCAACAATATATACTGAACAAAAATATAAACGCAACATGCAATAATTTCATTTGATTTTACTGAGTTACAGTTCATATGAGGAAATCAGTCAATTGAAATGAATTCATTAGGCCCTAATCTATGGATATCACATGACTGGGAATACAGATATGCATCTGTTGGTCACAGATACCTTTAAAAAAAAAACGGGCCACACAATGGGCCTCAGGATCTCGTCACGGTATTTTTGTGCATTCAAATTGCCATCGATAAAATGCAATTGTGTTCGTTGTCTGTAGCTTATGCCTGCCCATACCATAACCCCACCGCCACCATGGGGCACTCTGTTCACAACATTGACATCAGCAAACCGCACAGCCACACGACGCAATACATGTGGGCTGCGTTTGTGAGCCGGTTGGACGTACTGCCAAATTGGAGGCGGCTTATTGTAGATAAATGAACATGTAGCCAAGTTGTATCTATCATCGTATGCTATCTATTCATGTTTTTTGTATATTCTGTTTATCTGTGAATTAACCAATGATATCAGGCCACACCCGGCCATGATTACAGACACCTGTGTGTGTCCTTTGACACTATATAAACTAGTGACCCGCAGTGTTTGTCACTATACCCTGATGAAGACAGCTTGTCTGTCGAAACGTTGGTTATTAGGTTATTAAATTATTGCATCTGAGCTCCTAGAGTGTGCGGCTCTCCTTTTCTTTTTTAAGTTTTACTCCGTTAGCCAGTACCTTGCCTAAATAGGTGTGCGTTTCTTTCGCCTCCAGATAAATGAACATTCAATTATCTGGCAACAGCTCTGGTGGACATTCCTGCAGTCAGCATGCCAGCATGCACGCTCCCTAAAAACTTGAGACATCTGTGGCATTGTGTTGTGTGACAAAACTGTACATTTTAGAGTGGCCTTTTATTGTCCCCAGCATAAGGTGCACCTGTGTAATGATCATGCTGTTTAATCAGATTTGTGATATGCCACAACTGTCAGGTGGATGTATTATCTTGGCAAAGGAGAAATGTTCACTAACAGGGGTGTAAACAAATTTGTGGCCAAAATTTTATATTTTATTTCAAGCTCATGAAACATAGGACCAACACTTTAGATAATTTGCAAATAAATTCATTAAAAATCCTACAATGTGATTTTCTGGAAAAAAAAATCTCAATTTGTCTGTCATAGTTGATGTGTACCTATGATGAAAATTACAGGCCTCTCTCATCTTTTTAAGTGGGAGAACTTGCACAATTGGTGGCTGACTAAATGCTTTTTTCCCCCACTGTATGTCTAACAGTATGGCCAGCTGTGATTAAGTGTTAGGGTTAGAAGGTGAACTGTGGGAGATGGTGTTGTCTTGGCGATAAAGGTGTTATTTTCGTCAGCCTACGTAGTTTGCTACCGTCATGCCAAGAGGTTGCCAAGATAACCTTGGAAATACTGATTAACGCTATACCTATTATACACTGTAGGAAATTAGTGTTCACTTGATATAAAGGACTTGAACCACTCTGTTGCGGTCAAAATGTGTGAACCCTGCTAACTTGATATGAAGGACTTGTACAATCAGTTAATATTTTCTGTTGAGTCCATTCCTGTTTTTCCAGAGAGTGTTACAGTGTTATTGACCCAGCTGTGTTATTGTGTCTCTTGTTGTTTCTAGAGTATCTTTGCTCAGTTCCAGTTCAGCAGTGAGAAGGTGCTGCCATCTGATGTGCTCCGCAGCGCCCTGGCCAAGACCTTCCAGGACGAACAGCGCTTCCAGCTGGGCATCATGGACGACGCTGCAGAGTGCTTCGTAAGAGACAACCCTCCCTCACTCCTCCACTTTTTCCTACTTTACCCCCTCACTCTCTCCGCTCCCTTATTCCTCCATGACTTACCTCATCCCTCACTTCTCCTTCATTCTTACACTTCTGCTTTCTCTCTTCTAATACACCTGCATGCTTAGCAAACAGAACAGAGCTAAGAGATCCGCTAAAAAGTGATCTCATAACAAAATGCTCCATGTTAAAACCAGACTTTTGCAGTATTATAACATTTACAAAACAATGGCAGGGACACTATTTACTTTGTGAGAACAAAGGAAAAGTGTGGGAAGTTTTTTCTCTCTGGGATGTTGCAATGCAGAGCTGTCTACAGGGCCTTTCCCTGGTCCCATTGACATGAAGCAGAGTCCACCCAGCCTCTACCACACTACCACAAAGGAATAAACGAGTTAAGAGTCATTTATTTATTTCCCCCATTTTATAAGCAACACAGCTAGGCAGCCAGCCAGAGGATTGTTCCCTACCCTATACCCTCTCTGGGCCTATTCTCTCCTCTCTACCTCTCTCTCCACCTCTCTTTATGTTCTGCTGACAACCGGGAACATACGGTATTATTCGGGATATCTGGCTGCGGCTGCATTCCGGAGGCGGTGGGATGGTGGGCTGAGGCAGATGCTAAGTGTACATTGGAACCTCCCCCAGGAGACCCTCTCTCTGCAGTGCTACAGAAATCTGCTGCGATCCCACCGCTCAGAGGGGTCCTGCCTGCAGTTAGAGTGATAAATCACCCAGTAAATTAGCCCAGTATGGCCAACCAGAGCCTCTGTGTGTTTTGTAGTGCAGCACCTTGCTGCTTCACTGAATTTAAAACAATAATCCATTCAAAAACATATATTTTTTTATTAGTCCACTGTTGAAACAGTCCAAAAATGTTTTGCATGTCAGCGATCAAGTTTTCAAGATATAGGACTTGTTGTAACTAGTTGTAACTTGCTACATCATCATAATGATGATTGTGCATCAAATTACATTTACATTTTAGTCATTTAGCAGACGCTCTTATCCAGAGCGACTTACAGGAACAATTAGGGTTAAGTGCCTTGCTCAAGGGCAAATGATGCATTTTGCATCATCATGATGATGTGGCAAGTTACAATTTGCTTTTTGAAAGTCCTATATCTTGAAAACATGATTGCTGACGTGCAAAACATTTTGAGACTGTATCAACAGTGGACTAATGATTTTTTTTTTTAAGTGGATAGAAGTTTTCTCAAGATTTTGTCAAGAGGATATTTTCTTTGTGTGTTGGTTTTGTCATGATGTAGTAATGTGATTAAGTAAAAACATATGTGGGCAAGCACATACACACTTTCTTACACACACAAACACAAACAGGGATAAAGCTAACATGACTGTCTTTACCTGTTGCCCTCACAGGAGAACATCCTAATGCGGATTCACTTCCACATCTCAGACGAGACCAAAGAGGACATCTGCACAGCCAAGCACTGCATCCCACACCAGAAGTTTGCCATGACGCTCTTCGAACAGGTGAGCACAAACACAAGCCTCAGTACAAACACAAGCCTCATTAACTTATTTATATTATCAGTCAATCCATTTTCTTTTCATCTCAGAATTGATCCCCCCATCCATTCCTATGTCATTAACTGAAGTAAAGCCAGCTGTGCTTATCTTAGTCGTGTAACTCTGTGTTTGCAGTGTGTGTGCAGCAGCTGTGGGGCCTCCTCTGACCCACTGCCCTTCATTCAGATGGTGCACTACATCTCCACCACCTCCCTCTGGTGAGTAACCCTTTGACTGGGGAAACAGCATTGGGCTGACTGGTTCTGCCTAGTTCTGACTGGTTCTGACTAATGTTCTGACTGGTTCAGAATAGTTCTGATGGGTTCTGACTAGTGTTGTGACTGGTACTGACTGGTTCTGACTAATGTTCTGACTGGTTCACACTAGTTCTAAAGGGGGTTCCTTCTGACCGGTTCTGACAAGTTCTGACTAGGTGACTAACACCATACATAGGGGCAAATTTCATACACAAGTGACAATTGATGGGCACTACTCTCCATTTGAATTATGCTCCATTCACTCCACAAACAGATGATAGAATGAAAAGCTTTTCCGGTCTCTTTTCCACTGAGCAGAGCAAAAAATCAATGCTCCTTCGGCCTAGAGACCGTGATTTACACCATGGCGACCGAACATGCATTCTCTCTCTTCCTCTAAAGAGAAGTAACATTACATTTACATTTTAGTCATTTAGCAGACGCTCTTATCCAGAGCGACTTACAGTTTAGCGAATAGATCTTTTTTATTTTTTATTATTATTTATTTATTTTATACTGGCCCCCCGTGGGAATCAAACCCACAACCCTGGCGTTGCAAACGCCATGCTCTATCAACTGAGCTACATCCCTGCCGGCCATTCCCTCCCCTACCCTGGACGACGCTGGGCCAATTGTGCGCCGCCCCATGGGTCTCCCGGTCGCGGCCGGCTGCGACAGAGCCTGGATTCGAACCAGGATCTCTGGTGGCACAGTTAACACTGCGATGCAGTGCCTTAGACCACTGCGCCACTCGGGTCTAAGGCACCCGCCAGGTTAGAAATCAGGTCACCTAGGAATGGGTAATAGCTTTCTTCATCATGGCATTATGACCTGTCTGCAAAACCTCTCTGGGCTGTGGGAGGAAGAGAGGAAGGAGGGATGATTCATCTGCATCCCTCCGTTAGGCTGCAGACTAGCTGTAGTGAGCCAGGGGCTGCATGCCTGCCTGTGTCTCCAGCTGTGGCGATGTCTGCAGCAAAGCCCTCAGGAGAGCCCCGCATCATCTCAGTCTCTTCTTCTCCCTCCATCTGTTGTATTGCTGCTGCTGTAGCAGCCAGCCAATCAGCCCAGAGTGCTTGTTATCTTATGAGCAAACTTCTTATGTAAAAGTGATGAAATGTCTACATTAATATTCCAAGTGATTAGTCTGTTATGTGTACTGTGTCGGCTCTATCTAATTCTTCAACGCTGTTTGGCCCTGTTATGAGCCCAACATCAACACCAGCCTCTCTCTCTTTGTCTTAGAGACACCCCCCCACCCCCCCACCCCCCACACACACACACGCACCAACTCACCCCTAACCCTCAGAGGAGTATGTTGTATCCTGACAATGTTTTATTTGCCAATAACAGGCCTCTCTCCTGCACCAGAGCACAGAGCAAAGCTACAGTATAACCCTGGAGTGTCTTTGAGGTGTGCACCTCTATAGGTGGAGAGAGCTCCAGAGAGATCTGGAGAGAATGGGAACGGAACAAAGAGTCACCTTGTAGACAAACGACTGGTCTAACGCCCTGCAGTCACATGATCAGTAGCACCAGTGTTAAGGCTGTAGCTGTAGTGTTCTCTATTTTAGTAGGATGTTTTTATCTAAAAGTGACTTACATTTAACACAGTCTGTAGGGGAGAATGGGGTAAGCCATTTTTTACATTCAGCATCACTACGTCAAGTGTGATGTAGTGTTCTTTCTAACAAAGATATCTACTTATATTTGAGCCGCCTTGGGGTAAGTGGGTGATGGTGTCCTGTGACAGGGGTTGATGGTGCTGGTAGGTCAAAGTTAAATTCATGGAATGGGGGTGTGATATATTGTATATCTTAAATGTATGCCAACATTCAGATATACATGTAGATCTCTCTGTTCAATATCACTTACCCTTCAATTTCTCAACCAGTTGTCTGGGACAGGGATGTTGTTTCAACTGAAGCTATTAAGCCCATGAAACTGGGCCGCAAAATTCTTGATATGTTTAGCAAGCTCAGACTCCATGTCATCAGATAAGACATTGTGTGCCTCTGCTACAATACCATAGCCTCTCTTTCTCACAGGTTCATGTTCATTTTCTTTTTTTGTCAATATACAGTGCATTCGGAAAGTTTTCAGACCCCTTCACTTTTTCCACATTTTGTTACGTTACAGCCTTATTCTAAAATGGATTAAATAAATACAAATCCTCATCAATCTACACACAATACCCCATAATGACAAAATGAAAACAGGTTTTTAGAAAACAATACAGAAATACCTTATTTACATAAGTATTCAGACCCTTTGCTATGAGACTCGAAACAGCTTAGGTGCATCCTGTTTCCATTCATCATCCTTGAGATGTTTCTACAACTTGATTGGAGTCCACCTGTGGTAAATTCAATTGATTGGACATGATTTGGAAAGGCACACACCTGTCTATATAAGGTCCCACAGTTGACAGTGCATGTCAGAGCAAAAACCAAGCCATGAGGTCGAAGGAATTGTCCGTAGAGCTCCGAGACAAGATTGTGTCAAGGCACAGATCTGGAGAAGGGTACCAACAAATGTCTGCAGCATTGAAGGTCCCCAAGAACACAGTGGCCTCCATCAATGTTAAATGGAAGAAGTTTGGAACCACCAAGACTCTTCCAAGAAGTGGCCGCCCGGCCAAACTGAGCAATCGGGGGAGAAGGGCCTTGGTCAGGGAGGTGACCAAGAACCCAATGGTCACTCTGACAGAGCTCCAGAGTTCCTCTGTGGAGATGGGAGAACATGAATACTTATGTAAATAAGGTATTTCTGTGTTTTATTTTAAATACGAAAAACCTGTTTTTGCTTTGTTATTATTATTATTATTATATATTTTTTTTTATTTCACCTTTATTTAACCAAGTAAGCCAGGGTATTGTGTGTAGATCGATGAGGGGGGAAAAAACAATTTAATCAATTTTAGAATAAGGCTGTAACGTAACAAAATGTGGAAAATGTCAAGGGGTCTGAATACTTTCCGAATGCACTGTACCTCTTCAGTGTCATTTGGTCAATTATTTCATCCCTTGCTGCTGCTCGAATGCACTTATTCCCTTCTCTCACTTCCTTGGCTGTTCTCTCAAGAACGTCAAGGGGGGCTAGACCCCTGCTTGTTTTATGTTTGTATACACAGGGCATGATGATGTCTGCTCTGTAACAATAAAAATGCACTATCTTGAGTTCAAGACATATTGCAAAAATATGTAATCATCATTTGTATGGGGTATGGCGGCCATTGGCTCAACTTACTCCAAGGCAAACATTTAGACTATATTAGCCCACACAGCTACAAGGATGCACTTTCCGTGCTATGTTTAGAACCTCGTATTGTAGCTTATAGAGACCCCAACTGATGTATAAAACAATATTAAAACTATCAACTTTGGTTTAGATACAAGCATCATGAAACCAATAACACAATGCATTCATTTGACTTTGTGAAAATCAGTTTTTTGGACCTAACTTGCTTGCCACTTTTTTCATGTGTTTTTTTCCTTCAAAGACTCCATGAAATGATGACCTCTTCCTAAATATTTAGTCACATTATTAAGTTTGTGTATGGTTTCCTAGAAACAAGGGTGGCTCAACTAACCTTTTTTGGCTCAACTTACCCCACTCTCCCCTACAGTATTTGACCTAAACTGGGATATGCTTAACACCCCGGCCATCCTACAATCTAAACTAGATGCCCTCAATCTCACACAAATTATCAAGGAACCTACCAGGTACAACCCTAAATCCGTAAACATGGGCACCCTCATAGATATCATCCTGACTAATTTACCCTCTAAATACACCTCCGCTGTCTTCAACCAGGATCTCAGCGATCACTGCCTCATTGCCTGTGTCCGTAATGGGTCCGCGGTCAAACGACCACCCCTCATCACTGTCAAACGCTCTCTAAAACACTTTAGTGAGCAGGCCTTTCTAATTGACCTAGCCCGGGTATCCTGGATGGATATTGACCTCATTCCATTAGTAAAGGATGCCTGGTTGTTCTTTAAAAGTGCTTTCCTCTCCATCTTAAATAAGCATGCCCCATTCAAAAAATTCAGAACTAAGAACAGATATAGCCCCTGGTTCACCCCAGACTTGACTGCCCTTGACCAGCACAAAAACATCCTGTGGCGTACTGCATTAGCATCGAACAGCCCCCGCGATATGCAACTTTTCAGGGAAGTCAGGAACCAATATACACTATCAGTTAGGAAAGCAAAGGCTAGCTTTTTCAAACAGAAATGTGCATCCTGTAGCACTAACTCCAAAAGGTTTTGGGACACTGTAAAGTCCATGGAGAATAAGAGCACCTCCTCCCAGCTACCCACTGCACTGAGGCTAGGAAACACTGTCACCACCGATAAATCTACGATAATCGAGAATTTCAATAAGCATTTTGCTACGGCTGGCCATGCTTTCCACCTGGCTACCCCTACCCTGGCCACCAGCTCTGCACCCTCCGCTGCAACTTGCCCATCGGCTTCCTATTTCGCAACAAAGCCTCTTTCACTCATGCTGCCAAACATGCTGACTATCCTACCGATCCTTGACTTTGGTGATGTCATTTACAAAATAGCCTCCAACACTCTACTCAGCAAATTGGATGTAGTCTATCACAGTGCCATACATTTGTCACCAAAGCCCCTATACTACCCACCATTGTGACCTCTACACTATCGTTGGTTGGCCCTCACTACATATTTGTCACCAAACCCACTGGCTCCAGGTCATCTATAAATCACTGCTAGGCAAATCCCTGCCTTATCTTAGCTCATTGGTCACCATAACAACACCCACCCGCAGTATGCGTTCCAGCAGGTATATCTCACTGGTCATCCCCAAAGCCAACACCTCCTTTGGCCGCCATTCCTTCCAGTTCTCTGCTGCCAATGACTGGAACGAACTGCAAAAATCTCTGAAGCTGGAGACTCTTATCTCCCTCACTAACTTTAAGCATCAGTTGTCAGAGCAGCTTACCGATCACTGCACCTGTACACAGCCCATCTGTAATTAGCCCACCCAACAACCTCATCCCCATATTGTTATTTATTTTGCTAATTTGTACCCCAGTATCTCTATTTGCACATCATCTTTTGCACATCTATCCCTCCAGTGTTAATACTAAATTGTAATTATTTTGCACAATGTCCTATTTATTGCCTTACTTTCATAACTTACTACATTTGCACACACTGGATATAGATTTTCTATTGTGTTTTTGACTGTACGTTTTGTTTATCCCATATGTAACTCTGTGTTGTTGTTGTTTTTATCGCACTGCTTTGCTTTATCTTGGCTGGTTAAATAAAGGTGAAATAAAATAAATACAAATTGTGGCCCACAGATCACACCCACAACCCTGGTGTTGCAAGGTCTAGATGTCTGAGTGTGTGTTGTCTCATACTGTAGATGTCTGAGTGTGTGTTGTCTCATACTGTAGATGTCTGAGTGTGTGTTGTCTCATACTGTAGATGTCTGAGTGTGTGTTGTCTCATACTGTATATGTCTGAGTGTGTGTTGTCTCATACTGTAGATGTCTGAGTGTGTGTTGTCTCATACTGTATATGTCTGAGTGTGTGTTGTCTCATACTGTATATGTCTGAGTGTGTGTTGTCTCATACTGTATATGTCTGAGTGTGTGTTGTCTCATACTGTATATGTCTGAGTGTGTGTTGTCTCATACTGTAGATGTCTGAGTGTGTGTTGTCTCATACTGTAATGTCTGAGTGTGTGTTGTCTCATACTGTATATGTCTGAGTGTGTGTTGTCTCATACTGTATATGTCTGAGTGTGTGTTGTCTCATACTGTAGATGTCTGAGTGTGTGTTGTCTCATACTGTAGATGTCTGAGTGTGTGTTGTCTCATACTGTAGATGTCTGAGTGTGTGTTGTCTCATACTGTATATGTCTGAGTGTGTGTTGTCTCATACTGTAGATGTCTGAGTGTGTGTTGTCTCATACTGTAGATGTCTGAGTGTGTGTTGTCTCATACTGTATATGTCTGAGTGTGTGTTGTCTCATACTGTAGATGTCTGAGTGTGTGTTGTCTCATACTGTATATGTCTGAGTGTGTGTTGTCTCATACTGTAGATGTCTGAGTGTGTGTTGTCTCATACTGTAGATGTCTGAGTGTGTGTTGTCTCATACTGTAGATGTCTGAGTGTGTGTTGTCTCATACTGTATATGTCTGAGTGTGTGTTGTCTCATACTGTATATGTCTGAGTGTGTGTTGTCTCATACTGTAGATGTCTGAGTGTGTGTTGTCTCATACTGTAGATGTCTTGAGTGTGTGTTGTCTCATACTGTATATGTCTGAGTGTGTGTTGTCTCATACTGTAGATGTCTGAGTGTGTGTTGTCTCATACTGTATATGTCTGAGTGTGTGTTGTCTCATACTGTAGATGTCTGAGTGTGTGTTGTCTCATACTGTAGATGTCTGAGTGTGTGTTGTCTCATACTGTAGATGTCTGAGTGTGTGTTGTCTCATACTGTATATGTCTGAGTGTGTGTTGTCTCATACTGTATATGTCTGAGTGTGTGTTGTCTCATACTGTATATGTCTGAGTGTGTGTTGTCTCATACTGTATATGTCAGAGTGTGTGTTGTCTCATACTGTAGATGTCTGAGTGTGTGTTGTCTCATACTGTAGATGTCTGAGTGTGTGTTGTCTCATACTGTAGATGTCTGAGTGTGTGTTGTCTCATACTGTATATGTCTGAGTGTGTGTTGTCTCATACTGTATATGTCTGAGTGTGTGTTGTCTCATACTGTATATGTCTGAGTGTGTGTTGTCTCATACTGTAGATGTCTGAGTGTGTGTTGTCTCATACTGTATATGTCTGAGTGTGTGTTGTCTCATACTGTAGATGTCTGAGTGTGTGTTGTCTCATACTGTATATGTCTGAGTGTGTGTTGTCTCATACTGTAGATGTCTGAGTGTGTGTTGTCTCATACTGTAGATGTCTGAGTGTGTGTTGTCTCATACTGTAGATGTCTGAGTGTGTGTTGTCTCATACTGTAGATGTCTGAGTGTGTGTTGTCCTCATACTGTAGATGTCTGAGTGTGTGTTGTCTCATACTGTAGATGTCTGAGTGTGTGTTGTCTCATACTGTAGATGTCTGAGTGTGTGTTGTCTCATACTGTAGATGTCTGAGTGTGTGTTGTCTCATACTGTAGATGTCTGAGTGTGTGTTGTCTCATACTGTAGATGTCTGAGTGTGTGTTGTCTCATACTGTAGATGTCTGAGTGTGTGTTGTCTCATACTGTAGATGTCTGAGTGTGTGTTGTCTCATACTGTAGATGTCTGAGTGTGTGTTGTCTCATACTGTAGATGTCTGAGTGTGTGTTGTCTCATACTGTAGATGTCTGAGTGTGTGTTGTCTCATACTGTAGATGTCTGAGTGTGTGTTGTCTCATACTGTAGATGTCTGAGTGTGTGTTGTCTCATACTGTAGATGTCTGAGTGTGTGTTGTCTCATACTGTAGATGTCTGAGTGTGTGTTGTCTCATACTGTAGATGTCTGAGTGTGTGTTGTCTCATACTGTAGATGTCTGAGTGTGTGTGTTCTGTTTATTCTCTGTGTTACAGTAACCAGGCAGTGAGGATGCTGGAGTGTAGAGACAAGCCCACACCAGACATGTTTGGAGAGCTGCTCCGCAACGCCAGCACTATAGGAGACCTACGCAACTGTCCGGTGAGTTAGTGTACAAGCACACTTTACCACACCTTACCATAAATTTACATTATTGTCATTTAGCAGACGCTCTTATCCAGAGCAACTTACAATTAGTGCATTCATCTTTGAAGAGGTAGAGTTTCAGAAGTTTTCGGAAGATGAGCAGGGACTCCGCTGTCATGCTGTTAGGGGAAAGCTTGTTCCACACCATATACCATATTACAACTGTGATAGCCACTATATTCCACTATATTACAGCCACTATATATATTACATTCACACCAGAAAAATTCTTACTTATGATGGTGAAAAAAGATAAAATATGAATGTCTTGTTGCAGGATTCTTTAGTCAAGAAATATATAATGACTCTCACACTTGCGTGTACACACACACACACACACAATCTAACTCAGAGGCTTGTGTTTAGTGTGGGCGGACTGGTTCAGAGGGACTTCATGTCATCACATGGGCAGTAAACACTATTCTGAGGTCAGCCAAGCTCACCACGGTCCTCAGTGCTTCGACTAACTGAACTGAAAGGACCAGGGTGGATCAACATGAGCAGCTCAAAGTATTAGCGTTTTAAAATGTAAACCATATGAAATCTCCCAGTCAAACATGACTCTTATAATTCTGATATTCCCTCCCAGCTTTATCTTATCAAACATTAAAGCCTCTAGTCTCTCTAATGGTAAACTCTAGAGTCTACATAATTATAACGAGCTGCCCCAGTATTGTACAATTACAGGCATTTTTCAGAAATATGTTAGTATAGGCTGACTTTGAGGCTTCTCCCGCTGATCTGTGTGTGAGAAACCCCAGTGCTCGCTTGTGCTGTGAGAAAGTCTCCTCTGTTTATGTCAAATATGGCGCGTGCACAATCGTTGCCCTTCAGGGGGCCTGCCGCCTGCTTGTTTCCAGCCTAACTTCTGGGAAACACACAAAAGAGGAGGGAATTTTGCCCCTCTCCGGCAAAGCAGGTCAAGATGGCAGGTGCATGTGGTGACATGCGTCCTTCTCCCACGCAAACACACACATACAAACAAACACACACACACTGTACCGCTTTGGCCAAAATCAGCTCTATGAAAGGAGTCCTGTGGTAACCTTCTCTTAAGGACCGCCACATGCTGCTGGGCCCAGTGTGTGGGTAGAGTGTATGTATAAAGGAAGGCTGTCTCTCTGTAATGGGCATAGAAGTGACACTTGAATTGGGGGTTGTCATTGGCCTACAGCCAGCTGACCTTTTCAGATAGCTCACTGTGAGGGGTGCCCTGAATTGAACCATCGTCAACACTGAATTAGCTAAATGGATAAAGATCACTGTCAACTTAGTACGTAATGAGTCATGGTAGACTTTGTTTGAGGATTTTTTAGTTTGTTCGAGGATTTTGTGTAGATATTTGTGATTTATTATGCTCAATTTATGTCTCATTTTTGGCCCCCTCCTTCACTCCCCCCTTCTGTCTCTTCCACTCCATCTCTTGCCCCCTACCTTTCTTCTCCCCCCTCCTCTTCACGCGCCCTCTTCTTCCCTCTCTCTCTTTCTCTCTCTCTCTCTCTCTCTCTCTCTCTCCTATCTCTCTCTCTCTCTCTCCTCTCTCTCTCTCTCTCTCTCTCTCTCTCCTCTCTCTCTCTCTCTCCTCTCTCTCTCTCTCTCTCTCTCTCTCTCTCTCTCTACCTCAGAGTAACTGTGGGGAGAAGCTGCGTATCCGTCGGGTACTGATGAACTCTCCAGAGATTATCACCATAGGTCTGGTGTGGGACTCTGACCACTCAGACCTGGCAGAGGACGTCATCCACAGCCTGGGCACCTGCCTGCGCCTGGGGGATGTAAGACGCACGCACACTCACTCTTACAGTTTTCTTCAGATGATGCCACAAAGTTATGCTATACTGGGTTGTGTGTGCTGTAATGTTTCTAGCCACCGACACCAGAGTGCATAAAAAGCATTCTGATGTCTCTATACTCTATACTATGACACAACACACACAGTCAGGCACCATCTCCCATCTCCCTCGCTAATGAATTGTTCATGGTGTTTACCTGCTGTAAAAGCGAGCTAACCTTTGAGAACCTCTGGAGCTTTTCTGAAGTGGTACGTCTGTGAGTTGTGTTGTGATCTGATACCAATATTCCTGATGTCTGTTTGGGTAACCTGGGCCTTGGTTAATGTAAATATATGACAGGTAAAATGAATGATGGATTACTTACTGTAAGGTCCAGATTTCTTCCTGACCATATGACTTGACCAGGAGGAAAACATATTATTTAGATATACAGTATTGCAGTACAGTGTATTTTTCATTTCCCTATGGGGCTGAACATGAGTCTTCTCCCCTGTCCCCCTCAGCTCTTCTACAGGGTGACAGATGATAAGGCCAAGCAGGCAGAGCTCTACCTGGTGGGCATGGTGTGTTACTACGGCAAGCACTATTCCACCTTCTTCTTCCAGACCAAGATACGCAAGTGGATGTACTTTGACGACGCACATGTCAAAGAGGTAAAAAACGAATAAAAAATCCATCTGGGTGAATGGTTACAGAAGATGCCCTTATCCACCGATGTAGGATGGGATTCCTTTACCCCTAATCCTAACCAAAACCATTAACCATTTGTTTTTACTGTGTAGTTTCTGTGTTTTATTCTTCCTCTGGTATGTTTGTAGTTGAAAATCATACAAGCTATGTTTTGGCTATACAGTGCTCCTCACTTGGGTGATGTTACTGTGAGATGAACATGAGCCATACAAGTGTTTTTGGAATCCTCTCAGATGTGAATCCTCCACTTTACAGCTTATTGTCTTTGTCTCTGTCTCTCTCTCCAGTTGCTGTGTCAAGATGGAGAGGATATGAATCTTTTAACAGCGAAATACCTGATGTTTTCTTTCATTGCTAAACAGAGGCCTGGCCCATCGGCTCTATTCAAAGCCCTCTCTCTCTCTATGTTTGTCGCTAATTTCACCCCAGTTCCATTAGTTTACATTATTCGCCCGCTTGTTGACTCACTGGCGAGCTGGGGTTGTTTTTGATCTATTTTTTATCGATGACACTGGCGGTGTTGTCATCACAGCCCAAGGAGGGATAGTTGTCATAGGAATAGTTTAGTTTACTTTATTAACCTTCAGCGGATATTCACGCCAGACAACATTTACATCAAAAACAACAATCAACATGTATGTACAATTATTCATGGAGAGACACATGTAACCTGCCAGTCTTTATCATGGACAATGAGAGGTCTGCAGAGTTTCTGAGGACGCCAAAGCCTGTCACATGAGGTCATCTGGATGAACTCTGATTGGTGGTTCACACTGCGGCAGTGTTGTGACCAGTCATGGGTGTGAGTTCTGATTGGCTTCTCCTGCAGTTCCAGGTCAGGTCCCCTCTCTCAGTGTGACGAGGTGTGTGAGCATTGAGCAGAGGCGTTAGTTAGTTAGTTCCACATGCCTGGCCTGCTGGCCCAGCTGTGGCGTGTCTCTCGTCCCCTCTCCTGGGGGGCGGGGGGGAAATGACACACAGCTCTGTGGGCACCGAGCCCTCTCTCTCCCACTGCTCTGGCTCACTCCAATCCTTTCTCCCGTCTTTCTTTTCCTCTCTCTCCCGCTCTACTGACCTTCTCCCTTCGTTCTCCTCCTCCCCTCCCTGTTCTCTCCTTCTCCCCTCTCTGTATCCTCTTCCGCTCCTTCTCCCCCTGCTCTGTACTCCTCCTTCCTCCCCCCTCTTTCTCTTCCCTCTCCTGCTTCTCACCTTCTCCGTTCTCCCCCCTCTCCATTCTCATCCTCCTCTCTCTTCTCGCCTTCTCCCTCCTTCTCTACTTCTCCCTCTCCTTCTCCCTTCTCCCTCCTTTCTCCCCTCTCTTCTCTCCCTTCGTACTCTCTTCTCCCCCTCTCCCTTCTCTCCCTTCTGCCCCCTTCTCCTTTCCTCTCCTTCTCTCCTCCTCCCCTCTCTGTTCTCTCTCCTTCCTCTCCTTTTCTCTCCTCTCCTACTCTCGTCCTCTCCTTCTCTCCCTTCTCTCCCTTCCTCCCCTCTCCTTCTCCCTCTCCCCTCTCTCCCCTTCTCCCCTCTCCGTTCCTCCTCCCTCTCCCTCTCTTCTCTCTCCCTTCTATCCCCTTCTCTCACCTCTCCCCCTCGTCCCTTCCCTCCCTTCTCCCTTCTCCCCTCTCCGTTCTCTCCCTTCTCCCTTCTCCCCTCTCCGTCTCTCTCTTCTCTCCCTATCCATGGCTTAGTCACATCAATCTTCCCTTTCCCCTCTGTTTCCTATCGTTTGTACCTCTCTCCCTTCTACTTTCTCCCCTCTCCGTTCTCTCTCCTCTCTCCTATCATGGCTTTAGTCACATAAATGTATGTGCTGTACTTTCACTCCTGGACAGTTGCTTACAAAGCAGCTTTTCTCTCTCTCTCTCTCGCTCTCTCTCTCTATCTCTATCGCTCTCTCTCTCTCTCTGTAAAGCCAGCACGTGAGCCAGTGAGGGTTTGGACAAAAGTGACCTGAAAACAAGGATATCCCTCCATTGTTTATCTGGCCAGCTGGACAGGAGGGCGTGGCCAATAGAGAGCTAGAGCACAGCAGCCAACTCTGTAGACCCACACACACATTTGCGCTTTCAAACACATATACTTTGCTGATACGGTAGGGCTATCGGGACTTCCTGTCACAGATTCCTGTGCTGAGCGAGGGCAGAGCGTTTGGAAAACCAGGTCGGGGTAAGAGGGGTTGGAAAATGGCCTCTCTGGCGCTTACAAAGTCAGTTAATGTTACCCAGTAGCTATTGTACTGTACATTTTTACTCATTTAGCAGACACTCTTATCCAGAGCGACTTACAGTTAGTGAGTGCATACATTTTCATACTGGCCCCCTGTGGGAATCGAACCCACAACGCTGGCGTTGCAAGCGCCATGCTCTACCAACTGAGCTACAGGGGACTCCGTGGTCTTCGCTCTGTGTGTAGTTTTCTGGATGTCTCTCTTTTTTACTCTTTCCTAACAGTTTGAGATTCACATCAGGGATGGGCTGAATACTCCCATCTAACCACCTTTTTTGAGTTCCCTGGAAAGTAGTGACATAGTTTCCTCTCTTCCTGGCAGATCGGGCCCAAGTGGAAGGACGTGGTGTCTCGGTGCATCAAGGGCCACTACCAGCCCCTGCTACTGCTCTACGCTGACCCCCGAGGGACGCCCGTGTCAGTGCAGGACCTGCCCTCCCGCCTGGACCTGCACCACTTCAACAGGTCCTACTACGACAGCGAGGATTCAGGTACGAGACGCCTCGCATCACACAAGATCACTGCTACACACACAGGAAGGCTGTTGCATACCACATCTGGGTTCAAAAAGTATTTGTTTTCTTTCAAATGGAACTAATGAAATAGTCCCAAAAGTGCAAAACCCGCCCATATGGTACTCCAGGCAGCTAAAAGTATTTAAAGGAAAACAAATGCAATTAAACACCATGTATTTCTCCTTCTTGAAAACATTTGTTTACTGCTCTCTGTACTGTACTGATTAAGTTCTGGCTTGTGTGTTCTCATTATTATCTCTGATGGCTGTCTGTGTCTATTCCACTGTCATGCTGTTGTGCTTGTCTTCAGGTCGGGAGCCGTCCATCTCCAGTGACACGCGCACCGACTCGTCGACAGACAGTTACTCCTACAAGCACTCACACTCCCACCATGAGTCCATGGCCAGCCACTTCTCCTCCGAATCCCAGGGAACCATCATCTGTAACCCAAACAACGACCCAGCCTCCCACAGCAGCCTGGAGACCACAGGTAGGAGGAGGAGGAATTCAGCAGTAGCATGCACACACACACACACAGACAGGGTATATATATATGCACACACAAACATACATATGGTCTGTAGCTCACTCAAACACACACATACACACACACACAGAGAGAGTATACTCCCAAGCCTATACACCAGAGGAGGCTGGTAGGAAGAGCTATAGGAGGATGGACTCATTGTAAAGACTGGAATGGAATAATTGGAACGGTATCAAACACATGGAAACCACATTCCATTGAATCCATTCCAGCCATTACAATGAGCTCGTTCTCCTATAGCTCTTCCCACCAGCCTCCTCTGATATACACAGACTAAACTGTATATTCATTAATGCTTTTACCTTGAATGTATGCACACATGCAACTACTTAGGATTAAGCATGTAATGCTCACCCAAACATACTCAAGACAGATTTGTGTGTACTGTACAGAGGATTAAAGCCACATCCATTACCCAATCATGTTGATCATGGATTATGTGTCATCATGTCACGCATGTCATAACCATGTAAACGATCATAAAAAATGTCCTCCCTCGCTTCTCGTTGTTGCTAAGGCCAAGTGACGGACATTGGGCCAGTGCAGTGCCACTCTCTGAGGAAAGGCGGGACAGTGGACAGGAAGGGCGGGGCCAGTGACAGGAAGCGGAGCTCTAGTCGTCCGCGGCGACTTGAGGAGAGGAGTCGGGGCTCTAAGACCGACGAAGCCTCGTCGGCAGGCTACCACAGCGAGGGTACGCAGGAACCAATCACACGGCCGAGCCAAGAGACTAGGGACCAATCACATGGCAGAGCCAGGGGACAAGTGACCTATGACAGAAGGGCATGATGACTGTATCTAGCAACTTAGAGCTCATCAGAATCTGTGCCTCTAGTCTTTCGCAGGTAGTTCATAGTATTTTGGTTTTACATATTTAACAAAAAGATCAGGTACAGGTACAGGAGTAGGGTATCTTGTAGTATACTGTAATCTGTGTGTCCTTAACATTTTTCTCTTGTTCTGTCCAGTTAGCCGTTATCACCAAAGTTGTCACTCACGTTGCACTTTCATCCTATTATTTTCTCGCTTTCTCCGCCGCTCCCCATCAACACATGACATCACACCACTAATGTATTTATCTCCCACTCTCTGTCTGTCTCCCTCCATCTCCCTCCTCTTCTCTCTCCTGTCTCCCTGGCTTCTAGGTGAGACTCTAAAGGAGCAACAGGCACCTCGCACCGCACCCAAGTCCTCCTCCTCCAGTCGACTGAGGGATTTCAAGGAGACCATGAGCAACATCATCCACAGTCGCCCTCTCTCCGCCTCCTCCTCGGGCTCCGGGGCCCTAGGGGGTCTAGGGGCCGAGCCAGGGGCCACCACCAAGGCCAGAGACTGGGAGGCCGACAGCACCAGCAGTGAGTCCAAGTCCAGCTCCTCCGGGGGACGATACAGACCGGCCTGGAGGCCCCGGAGAGAGGCCCTCAATATAGACAGTATCTTCAGCAGGGAGAGACGCAGACAGGCTGGGTATAGTCCCCTAGGGGCCACTCTGCCTGAAGACAGTGGGGCCCCAGCCGAGGGCCCCACAGGGTCAGTCACTGGACAAGGACAGGGGCCCTTTGGTAATATGGCCTCCTCCTGGACCCTGCCAACCACCAGGGGCCATAACATGGAGCAGCAGCCCCCCAGGCTCATCCAGAGGATGGAGAGCGGCTATGAGAGCAGCGAGAGGAACAGTAACAGTCCTGTTAGCCTGGACATACCTCTCAGTGAGGGACCCAATACTGCTAATGCACATAGGTACAGTAGAGTATATACATACTGCTAGGAAAGATTCCGGATGATAGTAACTCACATATCTGAAAAGGGTAGACTCACACAGACTGATAGCTACATGATGAACTGTGTATTGTATGACTGACTTCTCTGTCTGTCTCTCTCAGGGACATCGGTCTGAAGATGCCTTCCAGCTCCAGCTCAGGTCCATCATGGCGCACCGTGCCCAAGTCTAAAAGCAGCAGTGCTCTCCTGCAGGACGTCAAGGCTTCATGCAGGGGCAACAGCCACGTAAGCCTGGGTAGGTCTGAGTCCATCCGTGTGTGTGTGTGTTTCCCACAATGTGTGTGGGAAAGTGTATTTTTATGTGGGATTGTGACTGTTTTGGGGTGCATTCGGAAAGTATTCAGACCCCTTCCCTTTTTCCACATTTTGTTACATTACAGCCTTGTTCTAAAATTGATTACATGATTTTTTTCCCCTCATCAATCTACAAACAACAGGTTTTTAGAAATGTTAGCAAATTTAATACTAAAAAAAAACAGAAATACCTTATTTACATAAGTATTCAGACCCTTTGCTATGAGACTCGAAATTGAGCTCAGGTGCATCCTGTTTCCAATGATCTTCCATTGAGATGTTTGATTGGAGTCCACCTGTGATTGGAGTCCACCTGTGGTAAATTCAATTGACTGGACATGATTTGGAAAGGCACACACCTGTCTATATAAGGTCCCACAGTTGACAGTGCATGTCAGAGCAAAAACCAAACCATGAGGTCGGAGGAATTGTCCTTAGAGCTCCGAGACGGGATTGTGTCGAGGCACAGATCTGGGGAAGGGTACCAAAACATTTCTGCAGCGTTGAAGATCTCCAAGAAAACAGTGGCCTCCATCATTCTTAAATGGAAGAAGTTTGTAACCACCAAGACTCTTCCTAGAGCTGGCCGCCCGGCCAAACTGAGCAATCGGGGGAGAAGGGCCTTGGTCAGCGAGGTGACCAAGAATCCGATGGTCACCTGAGTCTCCTGAGTGGGGCAGTGGTCTAAGGCGCTGCATCGCAGTGCTAACTGTGCCACTAGAGATCATGGTTCGAATCCAGGCTCTGTCACAGCCGGCCGCGACCGGGAGACTCATGGGCGGGGCACAATTGGCCCAGCGTCGTCCAGTGTAGGGGAGGGAATGGCCGGCAGGGATGTAGCTCAGTTGATAGAGCATGGCGTTTGCAACGCCAGGGTTGTGGGTTCGATTCCCACGGGGGGGCCAGTAAAAAAAAATATATATATACAGTGGGGAAAGAAAGTATTTAGTCAGCCACCAATTGTGCAAGTTCTCCCACTTAAAAAGATGAGAGGGGTCTGTAATTTTCATCATAGGTACACGTCAACTATGATAGACAAAATGAGAAAAATAATTCCAGAAAATCACATTGTAGGATTTTTAATTTAAAAAAATTAAATTATGGTGGAAAATAACTATTTGGTCACCTACAAACAAGCAAGATTTCTGGCTCTCACAGACCTGTAACTTCTTCTTTAAGAGGCTCCTCTGTCCTCCACTCGTTACCTGTATTAATGGCACCTGTTTGAACTTGTTATCAGTATAAAAGACACCTGTCCACAACCTCAAACAGTCACACTCCAAACTCCACTATGGCCAAGACCAAAGAGCTGTCAAAGGACACCAGAAACAAAATTGTAGACCTGCACCAGGCTGGGAAGACTGAATATGCAACAGGTAAGCAGCTTGGTTTGAAGAAATCAACTGTGAGAGCAATTATTAGGAAATGGAAGACATACAAGACCACTGATAATCTCCCTCGATCTGGGGCTCCACGCAAGATCTCACCCCGTGGGGTCAAAATGATCACAAGAACGGTGAGCAAAAATCCCAGAACCACACGGGGGGACCTAGTGAATGACCTGCAGAGAGCTGGGACCAAAGTAACAAAGCCTACCATCAGTAACACACTACGCCGCCAGGGACTCAAATCCTGCAGTGCCAGACGTGTCCCCCTGCTTAAGCCAGTACATGTCCAGGCCCGTCTGAAGTTTGCTAGAGTGCATTTGGATGATCCAGAAGAGGATTGGGAGAATGTCATATGGTCAGATGAAACCAAAATAGAACTTATTGGTAAAAACTCAACTCGTCGTGTTTGGAGGACAAAGAATGCTGAGTTGCATCCAAAAAACACCATACCTACTGTGAAGCATGGGGGTGGAAACATCATGCTTTGGGGCTGTTTTTCTGCAAAGGGACCAGGACGACTGATCCGTGTAAAGGAAAGAATGAATGGGGCCATGTATCGTGAGATTTTGAGTGAAAACCTCCTTCCATCAGCAAGGGCATTGAAGATGAAACGTGGCTGGGTCTTTCAGCATGACAATGATCCCAAACACACCGCCCGGGCAACGAAGGAGTGGCTTCGTAAGAAGCATTTCAAGGTCCTGGAGTGGCCTAGCCAGTCTCCAGATCTCAACCCCATAGAAAATCTTTGGAGGGAGTTGAAAGTCTGTGTTGCCCAGCGACAGCCCCAAAACATCACTGCTCTAGAGGAGATCTGCATGGAGGAATGGGCCAAAATACCAGCAACAGTGTGTGAAAACCTTGTGAAGACTTAGAGAAAACGTTTGACCTGTGTCATTGCCAACAAAGGGTATATAACAAAGTATTGAGAAACTTTTGTTATTGACCAAATACTTATTTTCCACCATAATTTGCAAATAAATTCATTAAAAATTCTACAATGTGATTTTCTGGATTTCTTTTCCTCATTTTGTCTGTCATAGTTGACGTGTACCTATGATGAAAATTACAGGCCTCTCTCATCTTTTTAAGTGGGAGAACTTGCACAATTGGTGGCTGACTAAATACTTTTTTTCCCCACTGTATATAAAAAAAAAAAAAAAAAAAAAAAATACATAAAAAAAAAAAAAATATGTATTCACTAACTGTAAGTCGCTCTGGATAAGAGCGTCTGCTAAATGACTAAAATGTAAATGTAAATGTCACTCTGACAGAGCTCCAGAGTTCCTCTGTGGAGATGGGAGAACCTTCCAGAAAGAAAACCATCTCTGCATTACTCCACCAATCAGGCCTTTATGGTAGAGTGGCCAGACGGAAGCCACTCCTCAGTAAAAGGCACATGACAACCCATTTGGAGTTTGTCAAAAGGCACCTAAAGGACTCCGATCATGAGAAACAAAATTCTCTGGTCTGATGAAACCAAGATTGAACTCTTTGGCCTGAATGCCAAGCGTCACGTCTGGAGGAAACCTGGCACCATCGCTACGGTGAAGCGTGACAGCAGCATCATGCTGTGGGGATGTTTTTCAGCGGCAGGGACTGGGAGACTAGTCAGGATCGAGGGAAAGATGAATGGAGCAAAGTACAGAGAGATCCTTGATGATAACCTGCTCCAGAGCGCTCAAGACCTCAGACTGGGGCAAAGGTTCACCTTCCAACAGGACAACGACCCTAAGCACACAGCCAAGACAATGCAGGAGTGGCTTCGGGACAAGTCTCTGAGTGGCCCAGCCAGAGCCCGGATTTGAACCCGATCGAACATCTCTGGAGAGACCTGACAATAGCTGTGCAGCGACGCTCCCCATCCAACCTGACAGAGCTTGAGAGGATCTGCAGAGAAGAATAGGAGAAACTCCCAAAATACAGGTGTGCCAAGCTTGTAGCATCATACCCAAGAAGACTCGAGGCTGTAATCGCTTCCAAAGGCTCTTCAACAAAGTACTGAGTAAAGGGTCTGAATACTTATGTAAATGTAATATTTCCGCTTTTATTTTTTTAAATAAATTTGCTAACATTTCTAAAAACCTGTTTTTGCTTTGTCATTATGGGGTATTGTGTGTAGATTGATGACGGGAAAAAAACGATATAATCCATTTTAGAATAAGGCTGTAACGTTACAAAATGTGGAAAAAGTAAAGGGGTCTGAATACTTTCCGAATGCACTGTATTTACATTGTGAACTCTGAGCAGATGGTTTATTTTAATTCATCGCTGTATCTCTGTTTGCTCAAAGTGTGATGTCACTCCTCACACCTCTTCCCCCTGCCTTGTCTTATAATGCTATTGAACAGGGAACATTATAGAAAGCTACGATATTAACGTGTGTGTGTGTGTCACACAGCAGGAGAAGGCCACAGCGAGCTGGACGAGCTGCAGGAGGAGGTGGCCAGGCGAGCGAGGGAGCAGGAGTTACAGAGGAGGAAGGAGAAGGAGAAAGAGGCCGCCATGGGCTTCAACCCCAGACCCAGCAAGTTCATGGACCTGGACGAGCTACAGAACCAGGGTAAGGCCCCAGACCAGACACAGCCCCAACCTGGTGCTCAGCTAGAGGAATTCCACTCTGAAGCTCATGAGTAACAGGCTTGGTGACCCATGTAGTACAGCATGTGGAAACCAGAAGAGAACAGGGTCAGGGTTCTGTATCAGTTGTTCTGTGGAGGCAGCCCTGTCCCACACTGCCTGGGTGTGTGTGTGTGTGTGTGTGTGTGTGTGTGTGTGTGTGTGTGTGTGTGTGTGTGTGTGTGTGTGTGTGTGTGTGTGTGTGTGTGTGTGTGTGTGTGTGTGTGTGTGTGTGTGTGTGTGTGTGTGTGTGTGTGTCTTTATGTAGCAGGTGTCTGAGTGCTCCATGTTTAAAGCACCCGGAGTGAGCTGCGTAGTGGGACTGCTGTTGTCCAACAAAAAAGAGCATTGTTCTCCCACCAACACAATTGGAAGTTTCCTCATTCAGAGGGTTAGAATGTGTGGCCGGCCAGTGGCCCAGTCACAGTGTAAAAGGATTAAAAAGCCTATTTGAATGTTCGCTGCGTTTGTAGTGGAGAGAAATCGGATGAACTAGTGGGGCTTGTAACAGTATTCACTCATTTAGGTCATGCGAGCCTGCTGCGATTCTGAAGTCAACAATAAGTCCTTAATCTTCAAAGGGTTGCAAAGACATATCATTAACTCAACCCCCCACAGTGTACCTTTTTTTTGTTTTAAATAGCTTTTTGGGATTGTTTAAAGAGCTTTGCTTTTGGTGTGGGTGTGCATATCTGTGTTTCTTAGGCAAAGGGGACGGCTATGAGAGGTGTGTGTCGGACGCTGAGCTACTGCTAGAACAGTCTCTGCGACTGGAGCAGACTGGCGAGGTGGCTGCCGCTCTGTCTGTGGTTAACAAAGCTGTATGTAAGTAGCCCTAACCTGCCTCCCTGTGCCTGCTGCCAGCCCAGCCGACCCACTATAACACTATACCACCACATACCTATCTACCTGTGTGTCTGTCTATGTGTGTCTCAGTTGGTTTCACCTGTGGGGGTATAGTGTCCTATATGACAAAGACCTACTTCCAGGCCACAGAGTCACTTGGTTTGAACCAGTCATATGACTATCTATAACAAAAAGGTTAAAGATATCCTCCAGGGATTTTTGAACTTTTACTGTTGAAAAGCGATATGCCAAGTATAAATACAGTAAAGTACACACACTAATAATAATAATAATATAATAATATGCCATTTAGCAGACGCTTTTATCCAAAGCGACTTACAGTCATGTGTGCATACATTTTTACGTATGGGTGGTCCCGGGGATCGAACCCACTACCCTGGCGTTACAAGCGCCATGCTCTACCAATTGAGCTACAGAGGACCACACTAAGGGTAGACACAACTACAAAGTTCAAGGAGTAGGGCATTCAAGGAGTTGGTCTGATTAGAAGTTGTGATTTCATCGGCCTCCCCCTTTGCTTGAGGAGCAATAGAGAACAAAAGAGGGAAGTCCACCCCCTACTTGTGCTATGTCATGACTTACCTGGACCACCTATTGAGATGTCCCTTTTTTTAAGTAAATGAGGTGTTAAATGAGGTGAAAATGAGACTGGAGTGCTACTTTATGGTATTGCCAGAATACTTGCTGCAATGCGTGTGCAACACGGTGCTCTATCGTCTCCTAGCGATAGTTTGTTGCAAAACCCTTTAGTGCCCGCAACTATAGCTCTTCTTTTATCCAAATATTTGGACATTTGTGCTTTCTGTTCAGTCAGACTTACAATAAGAGTCCTGAACCTAAAATAACCCCCCACAAACATGAGCAGGAGCAGTCTTGAATGAGTAATGACTAGGGGAAGGGACAATTTGGTCTGTCTAAACATAAGTTTGGGACGGCTGATAAGGCCAGCAGCCCTCTGCCTACCAACTGTCTCTGTCTGATGATAATGAAACGAGGCGAGTCGCCGGGGTGTTTACCCATCACCGTGGTTACTAGCCTGCCTGGCAGCGCAGAGAGGGAGGGGTCAGGGGGTGGAAGGGGGTATGGGAACCCATCGCTATGACAACCAAGTCTTCCCAAGGACAATGTGGCCTGGGTCTGTTATGTCAACATGGCAGTGAGTCTGTTGTTAGTGTGGTGTGTGTCTCTCTGTCTGTGTTTGTCCTCGTTTCCTAATGTCTCTGTGTATTGATGTGACATTCACAGTTTCACTGTCTCTGTCGTGAGCGTCTTGAATGTGTGTTTGATACTCCTGACTCATCCACGGAGGAATGCTCACACACCCAACTCTTTCTCTCTCACACGCACACACCCACTATTTCCCTTGTCAGCACCCACTAAACTCGTCTCACAAAGCCCATTCCTCCATTTCTCCCTTTAAGATCTACAGCAAGTCGAGTACTAAAAACGTCTGAACTAAAGATATTTCGCCCGCTAACCAAGACAAAGAGTTTGAAAAATACAATTTCTCAATTCAGCCCCATGATATGAGTCAAAATACCAAGGAACAGCCTTTATTTTCTTCTCAGTCTTCTTAGATATTGCGCCTAGGGAAGGGCTCAGCTTAAAACGATCAATATAATATTTTTTCCTTAACATAATTCACTTTGATTTGATTAATTTAACGTTATTCTATATGATTTAACCATTTGCCGTATGAACAGAATATTTTGTTAAGAGTCATTGTGGATCTTAATTTCCCCAGTGTGTATCATCAGCCTGTGTTCATTTTAATGTACAACACACACACATCCATTTTACTCACCAAGCGTGTTGCCTGTTTGTGTCCTCCCCCACCCCAAAACCCACCCACCCCTCCCAAACCCACCTCATTATTTCAACAGTCTAATCGTATTATTTAATTTTGTGCCAAGTGTTTTTGCATGCATCCCCATAATGCAGCTCTTTATTTTCTGCATTTTTATTTTTTTATTTTATGCTTTCCTTCCTTTTTTTTTCGCCCTGTAGCTAAACTCAGGCTTCCCATGCATGAGGGTGGCGCTAACACTCATAGCAGGACAGTGGCTGAGGCCCGGCTGCAAAAGTGCATAAGGAGAGCGCGGGGCCTGCAGCAGCGCATGCAACAGCAGCAGCAGGAAGACAGACCCCAGCAACAGGATCAGGAGCAGACAGAGGAGCAGGATCAGCCCTGTCCCTCTCCCCAGGGCCCCCCCAGGTACCAGCACTGTCTCCTGTCTGTGTCCTGTGACTCCCGTCCCCCACCTGACCTCACCTGTTCAGCCCACACCCGTGGCTGAGCTCCTCATGTGGCTCTGGAATGAGTGGAACAAGGGATCACACAGTCCTGGTTTATTCTTTAACATGCTAAATGCTTTGCAGGTAGTATAGGAAAAACACCATTGATTTGTACGTAGAAGGTGTGCTCAATGTGCATACAAACAAAGTGAGAAATGCTGTTTTATTTTATTTAACCTAGGTTCTTTACGGTAGGCCTATGTATTTGGAGTTTTAACAGTGTGCTAATCTGATTCCTACTTCTAATCATTAATACAACATCATTTTTTCCTAACACACAATTTTACCCTTGTGTTTGAAGATTTTCAAATATTTGCAATGCCACCTCTTATTCAGTGAAAGTGTAGCTAGTGCTTCTATGTTGTTTGGAGGGTTGTGTGTGGGTGTTTACTGTTTAGTTATTGTGGAGGTTGCTGTGAGGCCAGGTCCTAGGGGGTCCACAGACACGAGTGCCTCTCCCAGGGGTCCAGTTCTGAGCCACCCCCGCCATCCCCTTGGCTCACCTGTGCCAAAGCTCTAAAGAGTCCATCTGTTACAGAAACATCACACACACACACACACACACACACACACACACCCCACACACACACTAAAGTTTTAGACCTAGAAAATGTGTAAGGTATACAGTCGTGGTCAAAAGTTTTGAGAATTTCATTTACGTCATTTAGCAGACACTCTTATCCAGAGCGACTTACAGTTAGTGAGTGCATACATAACTTTTTTTTATTTTCATACTGGCCCCCCGTGGGAATCGAACCCACAACCCTGGCGTTGCAAACACCATGCTCTACCAACTGAGCTACATCCCTGCCGGCCATTCCCTCCCCTACCCTGGCTATGACAGAGCCTGGATTTGAACCAGGATCTCTAGTGGCACAGCTAGCACTGCGATGCAGTGCCTTAGACCACTGCGCCACTCGGGAGTCATGACACAAGTATTGGCCTTCACAAAGTTCGCTGCTTCAGTGTTATGAGATATGTTTGTCAGATGTTACTATGGTATGCTGAAGTATAATTACAAGCATTCCATAAGTGTCAAAGGCTTTTATTGACAATTACATTAAGTTTATGCAAAGAGTCAATATTTGCAGTGATGACCCTTCTTTTTCAAGACCTCTGCAATCCGCCCTGGCATGCTGTCAATTAACTTCTGGGCCACATCCTGACTGATGGCCGCCCATTCTTGCATAATCAATGCTTGGATTTTTTTTTTTTTGTCCACCCGCCTCTTGAGGATTGACCACAAGTTCTCAATGGGATTAAGGTCTGGGGAGTTTCCTGGCCATGGACCGAACATTTCAATGTTTTGTTCCCTGAGCCACTTAGTTATCACTTTTGCCTTATGGCGAGGTGCTCCATCATGCTGGAAAAGGCATTGGTCGTCACCAAACTGTTCTTGGATGATTGGGAGAAGTTGCTCTCGGAGGATGTGTTGGTACCATTCTTTATTCATGGCTGTGTTCTTAGGCAAAATTGTGAGTGAGCCCACTTCCTTGGCTGAGAAGCAACCCCACACATGAATGGTCTCAGGATGCTTTACTTCTCCGGACAAGGTGTTTTCCGGATGCCCCAAACAATCGGAAAGGGGATTCATCAGAGAAAATGACTTTACCCCAGTCCTCAGCAGTTCAATCTCTGTACCTTTTGCAGAATATAAGTCTGTCCCTGATGTTTTTCCTGGAGAGAAGTGGCATCTTTGCTGCCCTTCTTGACACCAGGCCATCCTCCAAAAGTCTTCGCCTCACTGTGCGTGCAGATGCACTCACATCTGCCTGCTGCTATTCCTGTGCAAGCTCTGCACTGGTGGTGCCCCGATCCCGCAGCTGAATCAACTTTAGGAGACGGTCCTGGCGCTTGCTGGACTTTCCTGGGCGCCCGGACGCCTTCTTCACAACAATTGAACCTTTCTCCTTGAAGTTCTTGATGATCCGATAAATGGTTGATTTAAGTACAATCTTACTGCAGCAATATCCTTGCCTGTGAAGCCCTTTTTGTGCAAAGCAATGATGATGGCACGTGTTTCCTTGCAGGTAACCATGGTTAACAGAGGAAGAACAATGATTTCAAGCACCACCCTCCTTTTAAAGCTTCCAGTCTGTTATTCTAACTCAATCAGCATGACAGAGTGATCTCCAGCCTTGTCCTCGTCAACACTCTCACCTGTGTTAACGAGAGAATCACTCTGCTGGTCCTTTTGTGGCAGGGCTGAGATGCAGTGGAAATGTTTTTGGGGGATTAAGTTCATTTTCATGGCAAAGAGGGACTTTGCAATTAATTGCAATTCATCTGATCACTCTTCATGACATTCTGGAGTATATGCAAATTGCCATCATCAAAACTGAGGCAGCAGACTTTGTGAAAATTAGTATTTGTGTCATTCTCAAAACTTTTGACCACGACTGTACATATTAGTATATAGTAATTTTTTGTATACAATACAAAATCCTCCTCTGTTTCAGAGCACAGGCATGTGAGAGATGCCTGGCCATGATTCACTAACCAGCCCATAACATGAGCCTCTTTCCTCTTCCTTCCTAGTGAACAGCCTGTCCCAATCCAAATACTGTTGACAGACGCCCAGGAGGAAGCAGTCCCGGAAGCCACCAGAAACACACCTTCTCCTCTTCACATTAAGCCCCTCCCCTCCAGTACAAACTCACTCCCTGAGCCCCTGAGCCACTCCCCTGTCGCTATGCCCCCGAGCCCTCACACAGGGTCACCCGCAGGGGGGTCCGTAGCGGAGGCGAGGGGGCGCTGGGAAGGACTGGAGATGTCAGGCGTGCTAGATAACTCCTGCCCTCATGTGAGACCCTTCCACAAGCACGCTGCCGTGTCCCTGCCTGCCCTGTGTGTGGACGGCTGGGACGAGAGCCTTACTGAGGGAGGCCATGACCAGACCCCAGCCCTGCCCAACCACCAGCCAGCTGCACCCTCACACTGGAACAGTAACCCCCCCGCCCAGACTCTGCCCACCCTTCGCCCGCACTCCAGGACACCCTCCCAAGTCAGCCACACCTCAGAGGAAAGGGGCGACGCCAACATGGAGGATGCCTACCCCAGACCGCCAGCCTTGGGCCACTCTCAGCCTCCTCCAGCCCATCAGAACCACAGCTCCCCTATCCCTATCTCCTCCAACACCTCCAGGCTCGGCCCTCCTCCTCCCCCTCCCACCCGTAACTGGTCCTGCTGGAGCCAGGACCAGCCGGCTGCCATCGACTCCCCATTCTACGCCCCTCCCACAGACTCCCACTGTCCCCCATCCGCCCCCATCAGACCAGGGCGGAGCCCTTCCCCAGCATCTGGGAACTACAGGCCAGGTGCCGCCATGCCAGTGGAGCGCTGGGCAGAGAATGTGACCCGCTACTACAACTCCCAGGCTGCCCCTGTGGTGGGGTCGCCCTGTGAGGAGCTGTCGGAGCTGGACTCTCTGTACCAGGCGAGCCTGCAGGCCCCCAGCCTGCCCCGGGCCCCACGCGGAGTCAGCCCCCAGCCCACTGCCAACAAGCAACGTAAGTATACTCACTGATCAGTGATGTATATTACAACTGTAAAACAAAAAGCAATTTTTTTTTAGAGATGATGAGTGAGAAAATGTAAGTGGGAGAGAGCTGTCCATGACTAATACTGTGTATCTGTGTTTTATCTGCAGCGGCTAGGAAGATGTTGTCTGGGCTGGCTGCATCTGGCCGCTCCAAGACTCCCACAGCCGAGTTAGAGAGACATGCCTACAGAACGCCAGGCTACACCAGCAGCCCTACACAACACCCCAATGCCGGCATCCACAAGGTGTGTGTGCGTGCATGTGTTCGTTGTCCTACATGTGGCTGATTGTGAGTTTCAGGGCTGTGTGTGCTGAGGCATGTTCGAAGCTGTGTGTAGTGATGTGTGTTGAGGCTGATGATTTGGTGCAGATGTGTGAAGTTTGTATCTGAGTGATGTGTGTGGGTCAGTCCCTATGTCTGTACATGCATGTATTTGTGCAGGGCTTGACATTCAGGTAAATTTGCCAGTGGCACACCGGGTGGCTTTTCAAAGTTACTGGCCACAACATTGTAACCACTGGCCCATATTGTATTGGTGGTGTGGTGCAGCATAACAAACATGCATATTCATAACTGTTTTGATTGGATGCTAGGCTCTGATTATTATGAATGGTCAGACTGCAGTCTTGTTTTGTAAAGGGAGGACCTCGACTCATCATGATGACCTGTGATAACTGAAAAAAAGACACGGATACAAAATTTTGTTATAAATAATCATTTTATGAAAAGCATTTCATTGTATGAATTTGATTGCCTCATCCCCCCATGTTTCATTTCCTCCCCCCATTCATCTCAAACTCCTCAAGCTCTCTCTCTCCAGAGCCTCTTCTGTTGGCTGGTTCTGTCTTCCTCTCCAAGCAGTGAACCCCCACCACTTCAAAACAGCTTGCTCTGCGTTGAATTCATCAAGGTCTGGTCCCTCAATTGTGATGAACATGAGGTGGCTGAGCTGAGTTGTCGCCAGAGAGGACCTCCAGTCGGTTTCGATACGTTACATGCAGGAGAATCCCCTTTCGCAGACAGCTGTGCTGATGGCCATTGCGAGATAGATATCCACCAGGATGCCCAGGCACCTAAATCTCTTCTTCAAGTCATCAGAAAAATACAAAATTGAATGAGTTAATAGTGTTAACACTCATGTCAGTCAACTTTTAGCACAAAGCCCATATTATTCAAGTACAGCTTACCTCTCTGGAATATTTTCAGTGGCACCCTGCGGTTCTTGGCCCATATTTTATAGAGCCGGTACTCTGCCTGGACCTAAGCAGGAGTGACCCCCCTCCCGTGCCAAGAGCCCCAGGTAATGGAGGCACAGGACCTCCACATAATCTCTGCCATGGATGATAAAGCTCTCTCTGGAGTCCTGAGTGGCTTCAAGCTGTGGCCACGGACCATAGTCAAGCACTCAGAATCTAGCTATAAGGCTGTCAGCTGAAAGGTCCAGTAGCCTGGACTCCATGTGCTTGATGGTGGCTTCTCCATTTAGAATTAAACTTATTTGAACAACTATTTCCAACAACTATTTCCAACATAGTATGTCTGTATTTACAGCTTTCTGCAGCAAATTATCATTATTTACCTGTTACATTTGTTCTCTCCTGGCTGAGAGTGTCTTCCTCCTTCATCTTCTCCAGCTGGACCCCATGGAACATCCCAGTGGATGACACTTCTCAGCATGCTTGCCTGTTGGACTCCAGGTTCCAGTGAGATTCTCCTGATGTTATATAGACAAGATATACAGTACCAGTCAAAAGTTTGGACACACTTACTCATTCCAGGGTTTTTCTTTCTACATTGTAGAATAATAGTGAAGACATCAAAACTATGAAATAACACATATGGAATCATGTAGTAACCAAAAAAGTGTTAAACAAATCAAAATATATTATGGCAAGAACAGCTCAAATAAGCAAAGAGAAACAACAGTCCATCATTACTTTAAGACATAAAGGTCAGTCAATGCGGAACATTTCAAGAACTTTGAAAGTTTCTTCAAGTGCAGTCGCAAAAACCATCAAGCGCTATGATGAAACTGGCTCTCATGAGGACCGCGACAGGAAAGGAAGACCCAGAGTTACCTCTGCTGCAGAGGATAACTTAATTAGAGTTAACTGCACCTCAGATTGCAGCCCAAATAAATGCTTCACAGAGTTCAAGTAACAGACACATCTCAACATCAACTGTTCAGAGGAGACTGTGTGAATCAGGCCTTCATGGTCGAATTGCTGCAAATAAATCACTACTAAAGGACACCAATAATAAGAAGAGACTTGCTTGGGCCAAGAAACATGATTAATGGACATTAGACCGGTGGAAATCTGTCCTTTGGTCTGGAGTCCAAATTTGAGATTTTTGGTTCCAGCTGCCGTGTCTTTGTGAGAAGCAGAGTAGGTGAACGGATGATCTCCGCATGTGTCGTTCCCACCGTGAAGCATGGAGGAGGAGGTGTGATGGTGTGAGGGTGCTTTGTTGGTGACACTGTCAGTGATTTATTTAGAATTCAAGGAACACTTAACTAGCATGGCTACCATAGCATTCTGCAGCGATACGCCATCCCATACGCCATTAGTGGGACTATCATTTGTTTTTCAACAGGACAATGACCCAAAATACACCTTCAGGCTGTGTAAGGGCTATTTGACCAAGAAGGAGAGTGATGGAGTGCAGCATCAGATGAACTGGCCTCCACAATCACCCGACCTCAACCCAATTGAAATGGTTCGGAATTAGTTGGAGCAAAGAGTGAAGGAAAAGCAGCCAACAAGTGCTCAGCATATGTGGGAACTCCTTCAAGACTGTTGGAAAAGCATCCCTCATGAAGCTGGTTGAGAGAATGCCAAGAGTGTGCAAAGCTGTCATCAAGGCAAAGGGTGGCTACTTTGAAGAATCTAAAATATAACATCTATTTTGATTTGTTTAACACTTTTTTGGTAACTACATGATTCTGTATATGTTATTTCATAGTTTTGATGTCTCACTATTATTCTACAATGTAGAAAATAGTGAAAATAAAGAAAAACCCTTGAATGAGTAGGTGTGTCCTACCTTTGGACCGGTACTGTGTGTTAGGTTCAGGTAAGTCAAGTTCAGGTATGGTGAGAAATGATTTCAGTGATGTACCGATGTGAACACATTTAAAACATGTTTTATGATTAAGTTCAGGGTAAGTTATTCAGGTAAGTTATTTCACTGATTTGCTGATTTGAACACATTACCTATCAGGAGTAGGCTCATCTTGTTGAAACTGAAGGCTGAGTGCCTTCAGAATGTCCAATGTGAAGTTGAACATTCATGAAGTCCTTCAGGTTCTTGAGGATGTTGGTCGCCCTTCCCACCACAGCGTCACATGGATGGGGTGTCCGCTCAGGGCTTATCTGGTCCTCAAAATGTCCCACGAACACCGGGTAACTAGAACACAGAATATAGAGAAGAGGATTTCATGTTATTATGTTTGTTATTCATAGGGAATTGATCACAACAATGAAAATCAGAACAATAAAGATGCTGTCTGGTGTTAGATCAGCATCTTATGGAATCAACCTACTTTAGTTGCCCTGTGGACGTAGGGCAGTCACCTGGCCCCCTTGAGGTTTGTAGGCTTGACAACCTTTTCCTCCAGTGCCTCTCCCAGCATCCTCAGCTCCCTCAGTGCCTCTCGGGCAGTAGTGGTACATTTCACATTTTAGTCATTTAGCAGACGCTCTTATCCAGAGTGACTTACAGTTAGTGAGTGCATACATTTTCATACTGGCCCCCCATGGGAAACAAACCCACAACCCTGGCGTTGCAAGCGCCATGCTCTACCAACTGAGCTACAGGGTATATACCTGGTACTGCATGTGGAGAAACTGCAACAGCTCTTGCAGCTTCTTCATTAGTGGTTCGTCTTTGATGGAGTCAACCATGCCCAACTCCAGCCAGTGTGCCACACAGTGGATGGCAAGCAGGTGTTGTAGACCCCTCGACTTCAATTTGGCAGCTACCCCTGTCTTCTTCCCTATATTCACAGCGGCTCCATCGGCACAGAGAAAGACGAGCAGGTGTCTTCATCCTGGCACATCAGCCTGCTGAAAAAACGAAAGCATACACACAAACCAGGCAATTTGAAATTAAATACATGTGGGACAGGAATGGCGGATACCATTGTTTTCACTTTTCAGTAAATTAATGTACCTGAGTCAACTGCTGCAATGACCCCATCAGCATTGGCATGGGCCACGTCTTGGATGCCCAGAAAGAACTGCCGTACACTCCCCTCTCTAGTAAACTTGAGATATACAATCTTGTTCTCCAAGTTGCCATTGTCTGTGGTCCCATCTATTATTAAGCTGAAGAACCTGGTGCTTCTCAACTCATCCATCCATGGCTCTCTAAGCTGTTGAAATATGTCGACCATAAACCTGGGGGGAAAAAGTTAAAATCGTGAAATCATTTAGTGCTTACCTCCATTTTGTTCTTTTAAAATTTTTTACTTAATGTTTCCATTTCCCATTCCAGAAACCTACCTTGCGCAGGCTTTGTCAGACAGGTAGCAGCTGGGCATATCCGACCCCATCCTCATGTTCAGCTTTACAAGGTCCGCAAAGTCTGTGAAAGACTTCTCCTTTATCACTACATAGTAGCTCATGTGGAACATGTTTTTCATTTGTTTAGCAAACTCCACATTCATCTCACCATTGCGGTGCACACCGGCCAGCACAGGGTTTGGGATGCGCTGACCTCTCCCTCTGCTCACAGACCTTGTGTCCTACGCTATTGGCGTGGGGGTCAAACCCAGTGCGTCTATCCACCTGCTGTCTTTTGAATAGTGCTGAATCCCAACAATCATACAACAAAGATTGACAGGATGCTATGCTATTTGTCGACTAGCCTTAAAACATGTTATCAAGGGGAAATTACAATTACAATCTGCCGTGTGGTAGCAGAGAGAACTGAGTCTGGACTGGTGACTGGAGTCTTTGACAATTTTTGGGGCCTTCCTCCGCCTAGTATATAGGTCCTGGATGGCAGGAAGCTTGGCCCCAGTGATGTACTGGGCTGTACGCACTACCCTCTGTAGCGCCTTATGGTCGGATGCTGAGCAGTTGCCATACCAGGCGGTGATGCAACCGGTCAGGATGCTCTCGATGGTGCAGCTGTATAACTTTTGGGGGATCTGGGGACCCATGCCAAATATTTTCAGTCTCCTGAGGGGGAAAGGCATTGTTGTGCCCTCTTCACGACTTTCTTGGTGTGTTTGTGATGTGGACACTAAGGAACTTGAAGCTCTCAACCCGCTCCACTACAGCCCCACTACATTTGAGAGACACCAAGTGCTCATTGTGCAAATGTATGTTTTCAATAAACATTGGAGACTAAATATAGCTTACATGATGTCAACAATCTAAGCCAACCGCTTCTGTTTTGCACCATATTTGTGCATGCGTCGGTTTTCTTGCTAAACAACCAACCCGTCTATAGCTAGGTTCTTATTATATACACTAACTATATTTCACTCACTTGTCTGCATAAACTGGCAGTGACCGGCAAGTCGTACAGAAGACTTTCCCTCTATCCTCATGATGTCCCAGCCAAGGCCAACATTCTGACCAGTAGCTAGGTTTCCATCCAATTGGCGACATATTTTCATGCGAATATTCTTGAATCCGCATGAAGAAAATATACGCATTTTTCCACTACACTGAACAAAAATATAAATTAAACATGCAACAATTTCAAAGATTTGCCTGAGTTACAGTTCATATAAGGAAATCAGTCAATTGAAATAAATGTATTAGGCCCTAATCTATTGATTTAACATGACTGGGAATGCAGATATGCATCTGTTTGTCACAGATACCTTTAAAAAAGAAGTAGGGCCATGGATCAGAAAACAAGTTAGAATATGGTGTGACCACCATTTGCCTCATGCAGCGTGACACATCTCCTTCACATAGAGTTGATCAGGCTGTTTATTGTGGACTGTGGAATGTTGTCCCACTCCTCTTCAATGGCTGTGCAAATTTGCTGGATATTGGTGAGAACTGGGACACGCTGTCGGTCCAGAGCATCCCAAACATGCTCAATGGGTGACATGTCTGGTGAGTATGC